GCGGAATAGTATGAAATCAGCGAAATATATTTATGACTTATTCTGTCCAGAGGACAAAGGAACCGCCCACAAGAAAAATAAGGGGAAGCCACAAAAAGGACAATTGAGAGTTGATGCAGTGGAGCTTAGTACACAAAAAGTGAAAAGATAGTTTGAGGGGAGATTTTGAGATGCTTAGCCTCAAGAGTTGAGCAAAAATTAGTAAGATTTCATGGAACCCCATTTGTGTTTCAAGGTTTCTTAAGTTAAAAATGTATAAATAAAATTTTAAAATAAGTGAAAAAATAACTTTGGAAAGAGAAAGGATCAAATCTTAAATTGATTATATTTGCATTTCATACTTATAGTTTTTCTGAACAAATCTGAGTTTAAATAAAATCATAACTAAGCCAAAAAACACTTTATTTGAATTCGGAAAGTGACTAATGTTCGCTGTTATTTGTTTAATAAAACTGCATTTACAATTTAAAACTATAAAAAATAATCAATTTCGCCAGTTTTTGAAAATTTTAGTTTTGAAAGATTTTTTTTCAGATATGGCTAAAGTTACTCGGCTGTTGATATTGATTAAGGGTTGAAAATTACTCCAACAAGATTCGGATTGAAATAAACAGGAAAAATTGTATATACAATTCAAACATATTTTATTTGTACATTTTAATAGTATTTATCTTCAAAGAAAAATGGTGTTTAACCCCATAGAACTTAAACCATTCAAAGCATGTTAAAAGAATAAAAGTCGTATTTCTGAAATCCTTCTATTAATGTTTAGTTAGTTTCAGTTTTTTGTAATATATTTTGAGTCCTAAAACTATGATAAATAAGTATGATTGACCTTGGCATGCATTATCTTATTAAATATAAACAAAATTATAATTGCCAAGGACGTGGTGAAACTCTAATCCTTGTGTTCTGCAGCTGAAACCCAACTCTAGGTTTTCCCCCTTTTATTTGTATTCTCTATACAAGTTTTACAATCATTTTCTGATAGACATTTATTGTAAATTTCAAAAGTTTTTATTTATATTTTCCATTATAGTTGCAGCACAGCTTAAAGTGTTGTAAATATTTGCCTTTCTACAATGTTTGCACTTAGTTGAAAATTTGCTGCCATTTTTTAAAAGCCCGTACTCCCCCACTGTCCATTTTTAGACATCGCAGATGGAATGATTTGCGTGTTTTTTTGTGAAACTATTTATTATTTTATAGCTGGATTGTGACATAGATTTAGTGGGGCTATCTTTTGTTTAGCCGGCTGAACAAATATTTGTCAAGCGCCGCGCAGACAGCGGACATATCAGGGGAAAAAGCAATTGCCATCAATGGCATATGGAAAGCGCACGAATCGAAATGTCAGAGTTGAAAGTTAAAACTTTTGCAGTTTAATTGGGTTGCCGGCAGCCGAGCAGAAGGCGAATCCTTGGCCCGGCCTAATTGAATTTTCGCTAATCCAATAGATTAAGGAGCAGCAGCAGCAAGAGTTCCTTCTCGGTTGACTGTAATGCAATGCAAAAACAATAACAAAATTATGCTGACAAGACTAAGACGGTCCTGCGAGACTCTCGGAAGATGACCTGAAAAGCACTAGTAAAGTATAGCCACGAAGGGACACCGAGTCCCTTAAGGATGAGGCCAAGTCCTTGCAGTTGCTTAGTTTCCTTTCAGGCTGTCGCTGCCATTGTGTTTGCTTAATTTTTGCCGGGCAGGAATTTAATTAGCTGCGAAAGAGCCAGCTAAGTATGGAATACTGAATTTAAATCATGCATAAATTATCAAATTTTCCACACACACACAGTCTCATTTGCTTAGCGCCACTTCAGGCGCCATAACTAATTATATGTTGACATGACATTTATTTGGCTTGCATAAATTAGGCAATTAGTTGATGAACGTTAATTAAGTTTTTGGAATACCGCTAAAGCAAGGTGTTAAGCCGTCGGGTGGGATATTGTTGAACAAGGCAACAAAAGAGGCGGAATGGCAAATAGTTCTTAGAAGTGAAGTTAATTAAAACCAATGAATGCTGTCTGGATCCTCATAAAATTACATGTAAACAAAGCAATAATTTTTCAAGTTCTTAAATGCAATATGTCCTTGAAACTGCACTTAAACTCCTCCCTCCCCTTCAACGTTTACAATCATTCGCTCTATCGTCTTTTGACCAGTGGCCTAAAAAAGAATCTCCTCCCTCAGCTGTCAGCAGCTGGACGATTCCTTGAAGCGTGCGAAAAAGGAAGAAGGACAATCAGGGGACTCCTTGATATTTATAGATGGGGAGGGAAAGGAGTGTGGCAAATCTTCGCCGTACATTTTATCGCCTGCACTCCACGGAAAAAGGTGAATGACGATGGACGCACCGAAAATTTCGACACATTGTGGCTTCAATCGTCGAGAGGGCGTTGTACATGGCGTATACGCAATAAAGGAGCGACAGCCAGTAAGGATGGAATACGGATATTCCCCGCTCTTTCCCCGAAGCTTGTCATCATTAGATTAGAGTGCAGCAAGCCCGGAGAAAGAGAGTATGTTGGATGGCACAAAGAGAAAGGAGGGAGAGTGGGTGAATAAAGCGTGATTAGAGATGGAAATAAATATCGTGACAATAAATGGTATAAAATATTATAAAAGATAGTTATATATATAAATACATTCTTGATTTTAGTTTATGGATGAACGTTCTAAATACATACTAAATTGTGTTTTCCCTAAGCCAGCTTAAACAATGCATCCAAAATGCATCTGTTCTTATTAGTTATATTAAGCATAAACGATCTGTTTTTTCGCATATACGATAGTCTAATACTAATACATCGATTCTATCACATCTCTAAAAGAGACTGTGGAAAATGCATGCACACATAGTGGCCGGGGCAGAGACAAAAATTAAACTATGGGGCGTTGCCTTGTTAGGATGTGCGTTAAATTGTAAAACACACGAGTGGACGGGCAAGGGGATGGCTATGGTGATAGCAATGGGTAATGGGTGGCGGGGTAAAAAAGGATGGGGATCCGTAAAGGACTGCGCCCAGCTGGCCAGTGTTATCCTGCCTGTCATGCTGTGGCCAGTTCTCGTTTATTTTGCGTATTAGACGCTGCTATTTTGTGCTTATTGCCGGCAGGACCTCCTACGCTCCTCCTCATCCTTCTCTCCGCCTGTCTGGCTGCCGCGCCGTGGCCGGTGTCCTGTTATTTTTCGCTTGTTTGGTTTCCTTGGTGTCCCATTGTCAGCTCATTTGTAATTTTTGGCACAACGATTTCAAATTAAGCAACCGGAAATGAGCTGACATTTTGTATTCTGTTTGGTTCGCTTTCACAGCGTTCCACACGCTCCTCCATATCCTGTAAGATTAACGGCACTTTTGCGGTTATCCATCAGGATCGCATCCATAGGGGCAATCATCATCATCATCGTCATCGTCATCGTCATGGTCGTCGTTGTCTTTTCCGGACACCCCAGTTCTGCACTCAAACTTGTCTTGTCTATTATGACAATATTAATATTTACATTTTACAGTTATTGTCTAGCCAGAGCATCCTGTCCCACGCACATATATATATGCACATATATTTATTTATCCATATCCTTTGGTAGCACTGGTAGTACACATGTATCCTTTCCCTGCTTTGTTTTGTTTGCTGCCACTGCTGCTTGTCATGTTTGCTGCCTCGTATGCATTTGGTATTTTCTTGTTTATTGCTTTATGTTTCAACCGCTGCTGCTGCTTCTATATCTTTGCCCTGCCACTGTCCCCGTTCCCCTGCCTCCACTCACATTTCCTTCCATGTCGAATCCTGTCAATATGGTTTCCATTTTGTATGTCGTGCATTATTTCCGGTTTGCGTTGACCACTTTAGACGCTGTCTCCTAAGTTTCACGCTTTAGTTTCATTTTTCCCAGTAAATTGTAAACATTTTAGTGTATTTTTAAGCCAGCAAGAGAGCTCTTGATAATTTTTGATTTTTCACAAAAATTATTGCTTGAAAGTTCACTTTGAGAACTGATTTAATAATTCATTTAAAAATGATCCAACCAGACTCTTCATTTAGCAGGTAACATGGTCAGTGAGAACTGGGTATTATAATAAATATGTAGCTAAATTTCGAGTTCTATAAAGGAAGCTTGGTTTTCCAAACATTTGGCTGTCTTAGACTGACCAGTTTTATTAATAACATCAATCTACCAGTATTGAAATATTTTGAAACACTTTTATTATATTTTTGAATCTCAATAAAGATGAAATTGTTTATTTTAAATCAAACAAATAAAAGTAAACTATGTTGATATTGTGTAAACTTAATTTACCTAACACAAAGCCGATGGTTCCTTTTTTAAAGTATTAATTTTTGAAGCTTTTTTATTTTGATTATTTATTTAGCGATTATTTTACAGTTCCAAAATATTCAGTTTAAGTAAACTTTATACGTTTGCTCTATCAAAATGTATTTATTTATATTTATATTATTTTAAATTAGAGAAATAAAAATCTTTTGGCTTAAGTCTAAATATAAAATATTATTCATTAATACCAGATAGTACAGTAATTGTAGGTTCCAAATATCAATTGATTTCATTGCTGGTACAAAGTCTGTTGATTCTTTGGAGTTAAGTTGCTCAATATTCCTCCATCACCGTTACACCTAAAAGTTCTCTGTTAAATAACAGAGGTCCTTTTTAGAATTTAAAAGCTCTCCAAGTGGTGTGCAAGTAATTTCCCTTTTGCCTCTCAGCTGCCATTCCTGGCTCTCCCAAAATTTCCCCCTGCAAAAACAAGGACTTCGATGGGAAACTTCGGCTCGCGTTTCGTTGAGTTGCGAATACCAGTGCCGTCCGAGGTCCTTTGCTCTCGCCGGCAGGACACGACGCCAGCCGAATTCCTTCGGTCGCAGGACAAACTAACAGCAGGGGCTTCGGCTCAGCTGCTGTTGTTGGAATTCCGGCGAGGACCGACAGCTTCCTGCCGCTGGGGCGTCAGTTACGTTGATAATGTCATAACGTTTGGTTCGCTCTGCTGTTGCCACCGCTCACGAAGGCAGCCCCCAACGAACACGAACGAGCCCACTCATCGAGTTTATAATAATATCCTGAGCAGGCGGCACAACAAAAACAAACATCGAATTAAAATAGCTTGCAAAAATAATAAGAATTCAATGCGAAATCGAAACAAAATAGAAGCCTCATAAGTGGACAAACAAACAATGGCCGGCAGAAAAAGTGTCAAAATATGTGAAAATTAATATTTCACCAGAGATTTGAGTGCTGCCAAAAAGGGAGAAAAACCCAAAACAAAAACAAACACACACTGCAAACAGAAACAGGACAAACTTTTCGTTTCGCACAACTTTTATTTCGTACACACGATTTTCTGGCCCTACGCGATTTGCCTGCGCAAAATTATGAAAAATATGTGAGAAATGTGCGAAATCCGCAGAAAACACGAGGACCCCAAGAGGAGTAGCCGTTGCAGGAGCAAAAATCCTGACTGTTGGCCGCTGGCATAGGTCAAGCTCCATCCTCCAGTGCGAGATAGATCCTGCTCGGTCCCGAAATCTGTCTGAAATCCCCTGGCGCCGCTCCTGCCGGTGTGTGTGTGTCAGTGAGGAGTGTGTGTGTGTGTGTGGAGTCAAGGAAGCGAAAAAGAAGGGAGAGCAGCAGTGTAAACGTGCTAAAATAAGTTAATTTATTGCCGAGGCAGCAACAACAATCACAACACACCGAGAATAACAACAACTGCCGGCAGTCAAAACATTTGCCGTGCTCTCCAGTGTTCCCTCTGAAGGTGAGTCGAGAAAATCAGGATCTGGGTGTCCTTTCATGATTACATTTGTTGGTTCTTCATAGCCAGGGTAACGATGATGATATCTGTGCATTTACAACGAGATTTAAGTCGAGCTTCAAAAACAAATTCGAGATTTTTGAATGATTAAAGCGACCTTACTATAGATATTATAAATGTTGTCAGAATTGTTTTCTTTCTAATTTTGTTTAAATTAAAAATAAAAAAAAATTAAAGTTTTTACTTCTTTGAATTTCCTGTTCACTTTACTCAGTTTAATAAAAATAAACTGAAAGATAAATTATTTATAGAAAAATTATATTTGTTTTAGTTTGGGAAAAGGTCAGATTTTGTTTCATTCTTCTTATGAGAAAACTCAATTAACAATCTATAGATATTTGTTTATTTATTATATTTAATTTGGTCTTATGTGCTTCAAGTTATTTTATTTTTTATTATTTAAATTTTATTACCATTATTAAATTATATTTATTATAATTACAAAGGATTTTACCTGTGATCGTTTTCCTTTAAGTTTTAGAAACTAAAAAAGTTTTATTAAGAAAACGATCACTGGTGAAATCCTTTGAAATAATATTAAACTGAACACTTTTCTTAGTTTGTATCTTCCATGAGGGATGTTTATTTATCCATGACTAACTATTGAGAAAAATAATATAATATGTAGTATATAGTCAATTTCCGCAGAAGAATGGTGACAGTAACCAGTTAAAAAATTATTTTACGAATTTCTTTTCAAGAAAATGTTGTAAAAATACAAAATGAATTATACATTTCTTTTATGAGCTGTAATAATAATTCAGAAAATCCATATATATAATAGATATGGACATTTACTTTTCCAATCTCTACAAAGATATCCGTTGCAACTTACAAATATTGATAAAACCATAGTGGAATTATTTAATGACAGTATAAATTTCAAATTATAAAAAAAACAATGTTTCTAAAAACAATGTAAGGCCACTTTGATGAATAATCTTCCGATTTCTGAGAAATCAAAAGACGAAGTTTTAGACATACCTAGATCTCCATTTACAAATCTTTCTCTCCAGTCTAAAACTATTTTCTCCCTTCGCTATCGGGATTAGAATGGATGTTTAATTGAAAAAAGCAATTTATTTGCCGACATACCTCAATTTGTTCCAAAACTACAGCAATTTCGATCCAAAATATTTCGTTGTTGTTCCTTTCGCGAACCGTTGTCAAAAAGTTCGTTCAATTGACCTGTCTTTGCCGTTCAAGCGTGCCCAAAAAAAGCAAACAAAAATAATAAAAAATACAAGTGAATAGCTGAACAAAAACTGTCAGATCCATGACCTACATAAGTACGTCGTGTAACCAAATAGATTGGAAGGTTTTCACACGCATATTTTGTTTTTACAGAGAACATTTTTTTCCATCTCTGCGTTCCGAGTATGCAAAGCCCAAAACCGCTCAGTTTTCAGATTTAACCCATTTTTGTATTGTTTTTCTAGTCCGAAAACTTTTCCCTGGTCACTGTTATTTTTTCCCCCCACTGCTTTTCCTTCATAGCCCTATATATGGCTAACAAAAGTTCGAATGTTAAATGATTTTCATGGTGGAAACTTTGGCAAACCCTGAAAATGGGAACCTGGGTCATTTGTTAGCCTGTCAGAGAGTGTCAAAAGGAACTGGCCGCGCATAACTCTGGCTGACACGTGAATTTATTGCATTCGAAACTCTGTTATGAAGGGTCCATCAAAAGTGCAACACTAATACAGGGGTCCGAAGCGGCCCCACTCGTAGCAGTAGCGGCACTTGTTCGGCACAAAGTAGAAGGGCGGCGAGCAGCTGCCGCTGCAGCAGCCGCCGCAGGGTATGCTACAGGAGCCGCAGCACGATCCGCAGCAGGATCCGCAGCAGGATCCGCCACAGGAGCCGCAGCAGGATGCGCCGCAGGAGCCTCCACAAGATCCGCCACACGATGGGCCGCTGCTGCATTGCATGCAGGGCAGCACAGGTCCCACGGGGCCGCAGGACAGCTGATACGAGACCACGGAGCAGGGCGCCGGTCCACAGTAATCGCAACCGTCGCAGGATCTACAGGATCCGCCGCAGGGGCCGCAGCAACCATTGCAGGGCTTACAGCTCGGTCCACAGAGACCGCAACGCGGTCTAAGTCGAGGCATAGCAAAATTCATCCCAAGTCCGAGTTATCCTTCTGCTCAACCTGTTGCTTAATTTCTGCCGTAAAAAACGTGCTAAATACGCCGGGACAGTGAAGGTAATTCGCTTTCAAGGCACCAGGACACTATTTAACACGCCAATCAAAGCGAAATTCCTTGGAAAATTTGGCAATGGCTGGGGTCTAGTTCAAATGTGGCAGTTTTGTTAAAATATTTGTTAAAAAATGTGACAAGTCGATCAAGGGATGCTGCGTCATAAATTATGATTCATTTTATTACATTATTTTCATTTGCAACTTCATTGAAGTTATTAAAGTGTAATTTACACAGAACTAGAGGCAATTTTGGATTGATTTTTGCAGTTCAGTAAAACCATGTGTGTCCTGTGTCCATTGAGGTCTCGAATCCTTTTGCCGCCCCTGCGGTCACTCCGAGTGGCTAATGGAATTGATTGTCTGTGCCTGGCTGGTTGGGAAGTTGGAATGGGTTTCGACACGGTTCGTTATGTGTCGCACAGAGATTTGCATGCCCGACCGTGGTTGAGTATGCAGAGTTAAAATTGAATAATGAAAATCTAAAGAGAACTATGTACATACATCAAGCTAAAGTTCTTTTTATAAAATGTATAGGAAAGTCCAAAGAAAATGTTATAATAAAATGGGTTAGGCAAATTGTTATATATAGCTTTTCAGAATTTAAGTTGATTTCCTGGATTCTGTGAAGTTAAGTTACTTTTATTCAGAGATGGATATGATCTTTTTCATTTATTAAGGCTTTGAATGCAATTCTTCACATATATTCCACTGTAGCACTCCAAACCCGTTTGCTAGGACCTCTCTCTCACTAGCCAGTTTCGCTTTTAGGCCAGATTTTCGAACCCCAAGGGCGGCGTTGAGGAGATTGTCACCAGCTGTCAGAGCAAAAAAAGAGACTTTGGTCCGCGTTTGTTCGCCCAGTTCAGTTTGCTTTCCATTTCGGCCCCAAACACTCGATTTTGTGTCTTGCTCCCGGCCATAACTAACCCAAAAAGGGGCAAAAAAAAAAGGAAAAAAGAAAAGCAGTGACTATACCAAGATGTGTGGCGGATGGGCCTGTGCCTCCTACAGCATTGCCTGCTGCAATCCGCGGCTGTCGACAATGCGCTTCACCGGTCGCTGCTTCGCGCCCACTCCCTGCGGTCCTTGCAACGACTGCTCCGCCGGCGGGGGATGCTGCGGAGGATGTTGCTACGGCTGCGGATGGTAGACAGGATCAGGGATCTAGTTGGCCTCCGGAGTGGTCACAGAATCGAGTGGAGGCGAGAGGCTGACAAATCTGTATTTGCTTGCAAAGGGACCCTGAGTAGGCCTTGAATTCCTTTTCCCTAGCAGCGAGCAGTAGTAATAGTCAGTCCAAGTCTAGTCGTTGTCGTCTCAACATCTCACATTTCACATCTCCCGAGTCGTGTAAGTTTAATATTTAATTTTATTTTTAGTTTGAATTTAATTTATGGTTAGCTTCTCTTTAAATAACCAACCATGTGCGGCGGCTGGGCCTGTGCCTCTTACGATCTGGCCTGCAATAATCCACCATTGTCCACGGTCCGTTTCACAGGCCGGGACTTTATTCCCACTCCTTGTGGACCCTATGACAAGTGTTATGCCGTGGACACAAGCCGCAAGAAGAACACCAACAATTGCTATGTGCCGCACAACCTTGCACCTCTAGAGGCAACGATCTGCACTGAGAAGAAGACCGGACAGTAAGGAGATGTTCCCCCAGAACACCTAGTGGGGATTTTGAGATATTAGGCCAACGACGACTGCTTGAATGTTTTACCTTTCAAATTAAAAAAAAATAGTTAAGCAAATATCTGCATTTGTTGTATTTTACTCGCAACTTAGATCGGGGTTTCTCATTATATTTGCTTCATTCTTGCACCTTCGAATTATAGTAATGTTTACCCATTAAATTCACGATCCAACAATATACAGTATTTATAAACTGCAAACTAGGATCACCAAATTATCCCGATTTAACCTATTAGATTAATAAAATAGTTAAGCAAATATCTGCATTTCTTTTTGTAACCCGACTAAGTTCGGGCTTCTCAAAAGGTGTGGCAAAAAATCACTCATACGCATTGTGGCTGCTTCTCTGCCTAGAAAATCGCAAATGACTTGCATTACGTTTGCTTTATTCTGAATAATGTTTACCCATTCACGATACAACAATATACAGTATTTACAAACTGCAAACTAGGACTACCAAAGTATAAAGATTATCCCAAAATTTATTTAAGCAATTCCAATTTATTTGCAAACAAGAGTTGTAATTGCATCCATCAAAATCACAAAAAATTCCGTATCTAGTGCAGTTATAGGAACTCTAGCCGAGTTGGTGATCCTCCTTAGGTGATCCTTAGTAGAAGGGTCCAAAGCATCCCCATTCGCCCATACAGCAGCACCTATTTGGTGGACAAGTCCAGGGACCACATGGCGGATTTGGGCCACAGCAGCAGCTGTTGTAGTTCATGGCTGGCAAGGCAGGACCCACAGGACCATAGGCCAAGGCATAAGACACCGAACCGCAAGCACCTTGGCAACACATCTCTCTCAAAGGTGACTGCAAGGAAATCCTGCTGAAACAAGACTCTTCTGAAGAAGCTAAAACAATTTCAACTTACTTTGACTCGAAGGCAGAATTCCTAAAGAAAATTCGAAATATATTTTTTCAACGGAAATTTTTTGGATTTTGAATTTATATTTTTTCGTACATAGGAAAGCGTACGATGTGTTTACAAAACAACAGACCAAACGGGAATGAGCTAAGCCCTAGAAATCGGGCTACAGATCAGGAAAATGTACTTCTCAAGGCCCACTAGATATGTTTAGAGCTTTAAACCGAGTCGGAAAGGCTAAAAAACAACTCTTAGTGGGGCAAAAAGTGACTTAAATATCGATCAAAGTCAAGTCCTGGCAAAAGGAGCTAACAAATTTCACACATCAATGATTTAACAGCGAACGAGCGAGCGACAAATAAAAAAATTTAATTTCTCTAACGACAAAACAGCAGCGCAACAGATTCGCCCCTCTGGCAAAAATAAGAAATCATTGGAACATGTCTAAAAAAAATATAGAAACATGGAGTCTGGGGAGAATAACACCAGAGTGGAATGGATGCCGAAAGGATTTCTCGCAGGACTCGCTCTAAACTGGGGCAAAGTCGATGTCGAGGCAGACATGAAAGTCTATTAGACTCAACGAAGCAACCTTAACGTGATTTCCCAGCTTCCTTCGGTTTCGGGGAGGTTAATGTGAGGGCCTGTATATGTGTCTGTGCCACATCACAGGATATAGGTATGGGTCCTCGGGTCCTGTGTTCTGTGTCCCGGCTCCTGACTGCTGCTGGTGTGTGTGTCTGCTGGTGTTGTGATTCACAAAAGCTGACAAGCTCATCGATCCCTGAACATTAGCTAAACATAAATTACACAGATGACTGCACAACAATTGAGGCGTTTATTATAATGTGTGTTCACACTTGAGGCTTTCAAAAGATGCACTCACAGTATCCAAAAGAGAAAGGATATTTCGGAATTCAGGCCTTGCCAATGCAGCATATTAAATTTCGTGCAAGTCAAATGCAACTTCTAATTCTTTAAGTTGGAATAATCGCTTAATAGATGCTAATTTAATATGGCAATGCTTAATTATATTTCGTTCAAACTTAAGGAAATATATGTGATCATAGGACTTTTACTGAATTTGTTTTACCCGAAACCCTGCCGCTGCTGGCTGCCTCTTCATTTGCTCACATTATTTATTCATTCAACTTCTTTAAAAAGCAATTTACATCGATTTACCTAACAACACGACCAAAGAACCCGCTCCCAGAGAAACAAAAAACCGCAGACCCCACAGACAGTTAAAAACTATTGCAAAACTCATTTCTAGACCAACAAAGAGGAAACCCAACTTCGGGACTGCAATTGAGGGCCTTCCAGCCCCTGCTTCGGCTTCTCTCCCAGGAGCAACACCCCACTTAAGATAATCTCATTGGTAGCATGCCAAAAAGTTGTCCCTGCCCCGAATAAAAAAAAGCAAAGAAAGAGCACTCGCACATACACACACACACTGCGTATAAAAATGTCGCCACAAAAAAGGAAACACACCAAGGAGAATGAAAAACAGCCGGGTAAACAAGCTGTGCGAGAGGCTTCTTTGGCTTGAACTAAAAAAGGTATTTCCTTTTAAATCAAATACAAAAATTTCTGCTTTCTGCTGGGATTCCATTGCCGTTGTCCGGCTCTTTTGCCCTCTGCCAAGTGGACACGATGGGCACTTCATTTCACTCCAAAAACATATTGAGCCGGGCCACTTGAGTGTGCGCCAAGAGATAAGCGCAATTATATGGCTTCGAGTGGCGGACTCCGGGTTCTCGAATGGAATCCGGAGACCGCAGGGACCTTCGCCGGACGTAAACTGTATAAATTAGGTAGGGAAAAAAAAGGAACTTTACGTTACTTATGTGACACGGCCTTCATTAAGACAAATGCGGGGTCTTTAAGTGCATCGTTTTTCCTTGACGCCGCTTTAAATTTATTTGCTGCGATACAGGACATCAGAGCAAAGGTATGCCTAAGAAGTTGCGAATTTCCCTGAACTCTACGTCCACATTCTCACATTCTGTCCCTGGTCAAGTGCTCGTTATGGGCAATTTCTCTGCTCAAACTGCTTTTCGGGTGCTTTTGTTTTACTTTCTTTACTTTCTTTATATTTTTTTGCTGACCGCACTTTGAGTGCGGGGGCTTTCTATTTGTGGGCCTCATTTGAAGTGCCTTTGTGGTGATCTCAAGGAGGCAACTTGTCAAGCATCGGTTTTCGGGAAACGCCCTCGAGTGACCATTGAAAAGTTTACACCACCACCACTACCACGTTGTCAGAGTGTGTAGGAAATATCCTTGAGCACTCTGCTTATTATAAGTTGAAAGTTGTTCAAGGAACTCACTCGGCCTCTTTGAGGCAGAAAAGTAATATGTAAATATATAAAAAAAGAAAAGTATTTCGTTTCTGGGTTTAGCTATTGCAACCCAAAATTCTTGGAGTTTAAGTACAAGCATAAGATTAATACTCAAGTGGAAAGTAATATCTTGTAGAATATTAAATCTTTGTACTAGTTCAATTGGCATTACCAACCTTATCTTTAAATGTACCTCTCGATTGACTAAAGAAAGCCAAGTCTGCGACCTCTAAAATCTCAATTGCAATGCATTCTTTATAGAGAGGCCTGATTTTGACTGTATTACTCCTTTTGATGTGCCTTTCCTCCTGTTAAATAATACCCTACAATTAAGACAAATGTTTGAGCATGAATGTCAAGGTATCCTTATGCAAGAATTATTACTTTTATAAAAAGAAAGATCACGATCTTTATAATTTTATTCCATAGAGACGAAAATAATTTAAGTAAAACTTGGTGCACCTTTTTTAAATATTAATATAATAAATTGGTGTCAAAGAAAGTATTTATCCTCTAAGTATTGAAATAACTATAGAAAACATATATATAAAATATTATCTTGTGAAAATTATTAACTAAGAAGCATTAATGATTCGAGGTAGTTCTAAAAAATGCAGTTAATTTTTTGTTTGACTGAGTTCCTTTTTCTATTTGAAGTACAAAATATTTTTCGTTTATTTGCCCAACGATGGGTGCTTGTCTTCCTGCCGCCTTCTCTGGCTCTGGCACCGTCGTGGTCGTCTGTGAATGTCTTCTGCCGCCAGGACTCCTTCGAGTCCTTGCTTTTTCAGTACTTTTTTTTGTGCTATTTCCTTTCTAAGCGTTTTGCCAGGCGGCGTCAAACGTCGGGCGCCAATCCTCATGTGCGTGGGTGCGTATGAGTGATTCTTTTCCACTCGGAATCCCCTCTCCTCCGGGCGGCTCATTCGGTCTTTCTTCGTTTTTTTCGTTTGGTAAATGCTGCGAAACATAAAACATCAAATGTAAATTGAAAGTCGTTCGTGTGTGAAACTGAATGTGTCATCAGTTGAAGCGTTTATCATTTTTTTTTTTACTGCTTTTCGTATTCGTTTTTAGCTTCATCGACCCCTCGACGGGACGAAGGATATATGGGTGTGTATGTGTGTGCTTTAAGAAGTTTAGATTTTATTTGCCGGCGTGTCAAGTTGCCTTTAAACGCTTTCCCCTTCGTATCTAAGTTGTTTGCCAGCCAAAGAATGTGGGGAAAATTTCTTGGGCTGTGCAATGTCTTGTAAAATCTTTTATTTCCGTTCCAAAGACACGCGGCACATGTGCCAGATGGAGTATCAAATATCCCATATCTGTCAAAGCGTTGTAAATATGAATATGAATTCAAAGCAATTTCGAAAACAAGTACGAAAATTGAAACGATTTATAATTTGCCTTGTTGATAGAAAGAAGACTGGATTGGAGTCAATCCATGACAAGTAACTAAGGATCATACCTCAATGCTCTATTGGTAGTTTTTGATTCAAGTTGTTAAAGTTAACAATTAAAATCTTGTATTCCCGAGCTTTTTATCCGTTAAACCTTATCTCGAATTTGTTACAACACTAAAAATGTCATTTAATGGCTGGCTTTTGGTAATTAACCAGACTGACAGGAAACTAATTTGATCATAGCAGCCTTTTGTTTATTCTTTTTCAAATTTCAAGTGCAAATTATTTAGAAATTAATTGGAAAGCTAGAAAAATCCAACAAAGGCTTTATTTGTTAGTCCAACTTCGCTTTTCCCTCGCTCTCTCTCTCTTTTTGGTTTCACTATATTTGCCATGCAAATGTGGAGCTCAAATAAAACAATAGATGGCAAATGCTGGTGCAACAACGACAGCTGCCAACTAGAGTTTGTGGTTGCCTTCAGTCAAGTTGTCGTCCTGCCGTTTTTCGCTTTTGTTTTTACTCCTGCTCCTGCTCCTGGGCGGCGGCACTAACTTCATGTCAATCCTTCTGTGGCTTTGCCGGTCGTTTAATTTGAATTTAAAATGTTATCCCGCCAAATGCATAGACACACCTCCAGCTCCATCTCCATCTCCATCTCCTGCTCCACTCCTCTCTGTGGCACTCATTTTCCACTTATTTACAATTACCACATTTTATTGTATCCCCGCCGGTCTCGGGGATCGGGAATGGCGTTTTACCATTTTATTTATACTCTTGTTTATATTTGTCACACTTTTGTCTTTGTTTTTCGCCACCCACGTACATTTTTAACTGCATTTTTGTGTGTCTGTCAAATCCCACACAGCTTCCTTTTCCCCCGGAAAACCCCAAATGCCCGCGCACTCCGCACTCTGCCCTTCGCACTCCGCACTTGCCAGACCTTGCAGATTTCGATTGTATTTTGTTTATTTTGTTGCAATTTTAATTACTTTAATGAAAGTTTTAATTGCGAAATAGCAAAAACGCACCGAACGACAGAGACAGAGACAGCGCCGGTGCAAAGAATCGCACAAAGGGCGCAAGCGGGCGAAAGCGGGAAGGGAGGGGAATGGAAGCGAGGGGGCATGCCACCAGGGCGGCGGTGTAATGAGTTTTTGCGGTCTAAGAAAGGTTGGCAGCTGCACGACAACGATGACGTGAGCACACTGGAAACAGCTCCCGTTGTTACATCCCGCCAGGTGAGAGTGTTTTTTTTTTTTTTTTGGGGCCAGGTGAACACGGTGAACATAAGCGACGGCCTTCACGCACGGTGAAGAGTTGAGGTTAACATAATTGATAAATTTTTATAATTAAATAATACAAGTGATGCATAAATTATAATATAATATAATTACTAAATAGAAGCCTGAAAAAATTATCTTATTTATGGGATCGAATGATATGGTTATGTTATACCTATACTGATGCTTGCACAGAAACAAAAAGAGTTCAAAATTAAATAGAAAATTTGAGTTCAATCTGATTTCACTTAAGTAAGTCAAAACTGGATTATATGTTAGATCGTTTTTATGAAAATACAAGTACATCAGGTTGATGGTGCAGTAGGATCTTGAAAATTATATAGTATTAGACTAGATATTTCTAGATATTAAAATGACATGTGTTTTTTATTACAACTGTAGTTGGTTAAAGATTTAGTTTCGTATAAAAACAGGAAGAGTAAAGTCGTATTTTAAAATCTTGATCTGCAAATTCGTTTTATAACTTATTTCGATCGTTATATATAAGTCTTCCATCCTTACCTCATCGAGGTTTATCGAAACAATATGAATATGTCCCAAAGCTAAATTGACAGTTAAACCTTTTAACACGAAATTTCAACTTTATAACCAAGTTCTTCCCATCAAATTGATAAAAACTAAAACGTAAGAGAGATATTGCAATTAAATGCATGTTTTGAAGAGCCCTTCAAACTAACCAATATACTTTTATGTAGGTGACTAAGTCAACGCGTTTGGGTTCACGCCTTACTTCAAAGGTAATCTGATGGAAACACTTTGATCTACTCGTAATTGCAGTTGGTGGTTTGATTCACACAAAAACAACATGAGGGAGTGACATTTGCATATTTGCCCCATCATTTGCATCCCCAATCCCAGATTTTTCCCCACTTGACCCACAAAAGTAGGCAAGCAAATCTGTACAAAAATGCCTTGTCATACTGGATCTCGTTTCACATTTCACTTCTCCAGACGAAGTTTGAATAAATTGTGTAAACAATCGGAATACCACAAGGTATCAGGAAAAATGAAATAAGTGAGCCGTAACCAGGGAACAGCAAAAGAAATACAGAATGAAAATAGAATGAAAATCATCAGGGCCAATGAACTGCATGAGATGCAAAATAGAAAAAGATACAAATGTATCTCCAGCAGCAAGGCATAGGATTTGCACTTGTTACAATACATTACACATTGCATAATGGAATCGTTGACTTATAAAGCAAAAACCACAACAAATTTTATGAGTATTCTCGTATGTAAAGTTTTCTAGGGGTTTTCAAACTAAAATGGAGCTGATATTACGCACAAAGGGAAGGTAGAGAAACTCTTCTTACAATACGATCTTTCATACATATTCTATTTTTTCATTTATCGCCAATGTGGAATCTCTTAGTTTGTTAATTAGTGAAAATATCAAAAAAATCTAGTTAAAATTTAATTACCAAATATTTTAATAAATTTATCTAGAAGTAAAGTGCCTTTTAAAAATAGTTTGCCCTTGGATTTTTCAGTGAAATGAAATGAAATTTTTACTTTAGCCATTTGCACGTTTTGTTTTTTAGTTGTTTGTTTCATTTTTTCCCAAGCAGTTTCGCCGTAGGATCGTTAAAAGCATTCGCTGTCGGTTTTGGAGCCCATAAAATGCATTAATGCTTTGCATGCTGTGCCAAACTGCAAAGTCCAAGCTTAAAAATATACATATACGATTATGTCCGTATGCTTTTATGTGTGCATGGCAGCGAGGAAAGAAAAAGATACGCAAAATAGCATTTTTGGCAACAAGCTTTTAATTGCATTTTGTATGTGCTCATTACCTTAAATGCAGTGTGAGAGAAAATGCTCCGGTGTCTCTCCGTTATCCTTTCCTTTCATTATACTCGAATTTTATTTCACCATTGGAAGCACTTTAAATGCCAAAGTATTTTCGAAAAAAAGAAAGCCATTTCCGGTATTGAGTTTTCATTGCAAGTGACTTAATAAATTTCTATATACAGAAATCCCTTTCATGGCGATCAGTTTACAATATATTGTAGGGGAAAAGAATACCCTGTATCTGTAATAAAAGAGTATTAATTACACTCTACCAAAGACTCTCGGATAAGCAGTCAAAAGAAAATTTTGGCACACACATGTGTGTGTGTAAGGCTGTTTGTGTCACTTTTGCTTCAAATAAGTGGAAAAGTAGCGAAGCGAAATGAAAATTGGCAACGGCAAAGTCGCTGCCGAAAAACCAGTAAAAGAGAGAAAATAAGTTTTTCCCCGGCGAGAATAAACAAGGGAAAAGGGGCCACAAGCACATGTGTGGGAGTATATGTGTATTTTATTTAAATGAAAAATAATTAAACTCTGAATTGAAGTTTCTCTTTTGGCTCTTTTTATGGCGAAACGGAAAGACAATTAGGAAATGGTCGCTTAAACAGAAGAAGGGCGGATCACGATAGTATAAAAGGAAGCTGAGAGTGAAAAAAATAGAGGCCAAAGCTCCTTACAAAAAAAAATAGGATAAGTGAAATGGTTTATCCCTCTCACTGGCTCCTAGACACGCGGTTTTTATATAAATTGAATTGAGTTTAAATATAAGAAGATTTATCCCAGTAAAACCATACAATCCCTGCCCGCAGCTGTACTTTATTTACAGAGTTTTACATTCTTCTCTTTTTGTTTAACTCCAGACTCTTTCTATTTTTATACCCTTGCAGGGTATTATAATTTCAGTCAGTAGTTTGCAACGCAGTGAAGGAGGCACCTCCGACTATATAAAGTATATATATTCTTGATCAGGATCAACAGCCGAGTCGATCTAGCCATGTCCGTCTGTCCGTCTGTCCGTCTGTCCGTCTGTCCGTCTTTCCGTCTGTCCGTCTGTCCGTCTGTCCTTCTGTCCGTCTGTCCGTCTATCCGTCTGTCCGTCTGTCCGTCTGTCCGTTTCTACGCAAACTAGTCTCTCAGTTTTGAAGCTATCTGAATGAAACTTTGCAGTTAGTCTTCTATATACTCTCACTCGTATATATGTCGGAACGGGCCGGATCGGACGACTATATCATATAGCTGTCATAGGAATGATCGGAAAAGTTTTACAAAAAATATTATAAAATTTTTAGTTTTCAACAGAATTTGATCAAATTTGAGATATAGCCATTTCATATTATTCTACAATTTTGTGTTAAATTTTATGAAAATCGGACTACTATATCATATAGCTCCCATAGGAACGATAGAGAAATTAATGCAATTAAATTTATAACTTTTTTAGTTTTCAGCTGATTTTCATCAAATTTGAGGTATAGCCATTTTATATAAGTCTTAAATTTTGTGGCAAATTTCATAAAAATCGGACGACTATATAATATAGGTGCCATACAAACGATCGTTTGATGTAGAGAAAAAATGCAAATCTGTGAATGTAAAACTGCAAATATAATGTATAGGTGAATGAAATGAAAGCAGGTATTACTTCATTGTTTTTTAACACAAATATATATAATTTATATTGTATGGATTCCTATTCATAGAAGTTCTATCTGCAAGGGTATATAAACTTCGGCGTGCCGAAGTTAGCTTCCTTTCTTGTTTCTTATAATTTTCTGTGAATTAAGTTTTTTTGTCCTGGCTCTTAATGCTATTATTTTTCCATTTGCTTAGTGCAACACACCAGAAGATTAGCGTTCAATTAAAATCGATTTCAGTGTTCGTGTATGAGTGTGTGTTTTTTTCCTGTATTTGAGTTTCAAGCGATTTTTTAATTAAAGTGCTGCAGTTAATTGCATTAATCACAGTATTTGCGATGAGCACAGAGCGGAATAAAGCCTGAATACCGCGAAGTGGAGCGGGACTTGGTAAATTATTTAAATGAATCTCCCTGAATTATTTATTTGGCAATCAAAAACCAATAAAGTTTAGCGTTGTTTTGCGGTATTTTAAAATATTAATTTCTAGCGTGTATCGTGAATGGGCGAAAATGTGAATCAAATATTCATAGCACAAACGACAGCAGTTAATAATGCATAGATGTTGTTAATTTTTGTATGAGCTTATCCAAGCTTAAACTGCTTCATTATTTCGATTTTAGTATTTTTGATATATTGCATCTTTCTTTTAATTTCAAAGCTGGCTATAATTAATATCTCTAAAAGTAAAGTTTTTGCATTAAACATTAATCACTTATATTGATAACTCCATTAAGAGCATAATCTCTAATACCAAACTTTAATATTTCTGCAATTACAGTTGAATTTGCTGGCGCTGACTGAAAGGCAAACTACAGAACTATAGAAATAGGCCAAATCCAATTGACATTTATTGACCAATATACATTTATAAGGACAGTCCGGAAGCGAAGGCAGATACCAGAAGGGAAAATCACAAGAGAAAATTGTAAAAATCGTTATATATTTCAATGACGACGACGACGATAAAGACGACGACGACTATTCAGATGGCCAACAAGTGGAGCAAGGGACGAGGACGAGGTTCCCGCAGCCATGGCCAAAGTGGGCGTGGCTGTATCTGCTGGATATCCTTGACGCTGCTCCTCATGCTGGTGCCTGGTAAGTGAATTATAAACAAAAAGCTCGACCAAAAACAATCGGGCGGAGCCCAAAATCTTGGCTAATTCGAATGACACAAAGTCGAAGGACAACAAAAAACTTTGATGAAATACTTGAGAAGTTTGACAAAGCCTCGCCATATATAGCACATATATATATATATACTGATAAATGACACTCTGATAGCTGTCCGGTTGACAGGACAGAGTGCCCGATGAGTCGGGCGACTTTGGCGATAATTAATTTTTAAGCCGCGCAAAATGAAGCCCCAAAGGGGGCGGCAGGACGAAGGACGAAGAAGCGCTGGCCAAATGGAGCGGCAAGGACAGCGGAAGGCGAAATCAATCGTTCGGAAAATAAACAAATCTTATTTTTCCGCAAACATTATTTCTCATCAGTCGAATCGAGGCGGTGGGAGGAGCGAAGGCAAAACCAGCAAACGGCCATAATAATAACAGGGCGGCGGCGGTGACAACAACATTTTTCATAAATACGCGCATTCATCTGCATGAAACGATGGCCAGAGGGGCTGCGAGGGGGCGTGCTAGCAAGGGAAGCAGTTAAATAACTCCGAGGGTCGCTTAAAGAGTTCTCAAGATGGCATCAAAAGGCAGTTTCAATTTCCAATTTCAATTTCCAAACTAATGCAAATATTTTACAGTTTTCAGAACAAAATTATATAAACATAAATCAATGTAAATAAATAATCGTAAATCTATGTTTTGAAAGAGAATTATTCAGTGTAAACTTTCTTTTGATCCTTCGAGCCGGATTAACACCATGTACATTATGCAACACCAGACACAAAATCTGATTATAACTATAACGCTTTTTTTAGAATATCGAACGGCAAGTTTGGCTGAAATATTTAAAATATCTAACAAAATCGGAAACAATTATTAACTGCATGGTTGCGAGGAATAGATCAATACTTTACCTCAAAATATAAAACAATTGATTGTAATTTACAGTAAACATAATGTGGTACTTTGGTCTTTGATCTTTTTGTTTGAAGGCCCTACAAGAAGATAAATTAGTGTGATTTGTTTTGATTTGATTTGCCTTCTAAATATAATAATTCTGTTCATAATCAAATCTACATCATTCTTTTAATAAGGTTTACAGAAGTCTGTAGGAAACTAACTTTAAAAAGTGCGATCAAGCCTATTTTATAAAACATAGTAACAAAGATTTAACAGAATACAGAATACATCCGAACTTTTGGTAAGAACTTTAGTAAATTATTTTGTAATTTGGCTTTTTAAAGTAACTAAACACTCAAATACCGGCACTTAAATATATTGTATTAAATTTTGTTTCACGAAAACCGTTCAAACAGACTTTTGTATGTATTTTCATATTTAGTTTAATCGGCTTACTTGTTGAAAAATGTATTTATTTGTCGACAAAACAGTGAACTCCTCGAGCCACCCTTGTTTCAGTACTCGACAGAGTCAACTCATTGGGCTTTGGGCCCCTCCATTCCGCCGAGATACTACCAACCGACCGCAACAAAACCAAAATGATGATGCTGCAAAAGTAACTACGAGATACTAAATATCCATCCAATGCTTCTGACTGCTATTTTTGCTCGCTATATTCCAATTTTTTCTTCTTCTCCTGGCCAAAAGGCGCGAGCGGGACAATGTGTAAACAAGCAAAACAAAAAAGGCAACTTAGGGCCAACAACATTGTAGAAGGATACACACATTCAGATAGATATATACAGGGGGAGAGAGAGGAAAAGGACGAAAGCAATTGCTGCCTAGAGACGGAGAATATTTCATAATTTTTTGCGTGATGAAGTCGCATTTGTTGGGATTAAATGAGATTTTCTTGCAATTACCGAATGCGCGGAGGGCTAAAGTTTTATTTATTTAGCTCTCATTTTTCCCTCTCGCTCAATATAATTCCCTTTTGCAATACATCGAGTACTCATCGAAATTACAATTTCTGTTGGTTAGCAGCTTAGCCGAAAAACATTCCCTACTGCCATTTGCCATTGATTTGAACTTTCGGCGTTTGCGGCAAAGTTTCTTTTTCAATTTCGCCACAGATAGATCGATATTTTCTAATTTATGCTAAACGCACACAAAGGGCTGCCGAAGGGAAAGTGCTTACCCTGACCATCCCCATTGAGAGCCAAACAATAAACAATGCAATGCATCGTGTGTGCGAGTGTGTTTGTGAGGATTACGGAGGAAATGCTCATCCTTCGGGCCCGGGAAAAAGGAAAACTTTTCCATCCAACTTCAGCCTAGGGTATCCGAAAAACATTCAACATGTTGAGCTGGCCATTCTCCCACTATGACCTCACCTCGTCGCCACCTCGGTTCCCCTTCACACATTTCTAGAACAAAAGCCCCCAAAATTGGCTATATCCCTCAATATAGGTCCGCCCTGGCAAAAGTTTGTTCTCTCTGCGGGCAGCTCCAATCACAATGGAAGGCAGGCAGCATCAGCAGCGACCGCTACTGGGGGTTGGAGATGCGTTTTCAATTTTCCAGAATGCACAAAAGTCAGTAAGCATTCTTCAACGGCATCATCATCGTCCTCGTCATGATCTTAGACCACATATCACCCATACGCCCCGATGTGCATGAGCCCTATCAGGACGTCGCTGCCAGGGCTTCTGTTTAGCATCTATCCTTCACTCTCAAGGCACTTGAAGAAAATCAGTGGAAAATCTAAACCAAAATGGGTTTTAATTAAATGTATTTGTAACTATAATTCAAAATAAAACTCAAGTAATTTCAATGAAACTATAGACTTTGTCTTGGAGTTTCACATTCATAGTATCTCTATATATTTGCGAAATTCCAAAAATGATTCCTCCAAGTGCACTCTGGCATATAAGCCCTCATAGAAGCTACATCGCACACTCCACTTTGCATATCACATGAACTTGCACTTTGCATTTTGTTTCTGCCTTTTCGGCAAAAGACAGGTGGATGCTGGAATTAAGGCGTTCGAGGGCGGCAAGTTCGGGGTCCTGAATCGTCTTTGTCTAGCAGACATCTACCGTTTACTGTTCCGACATTCCAACTTGGCTGCTTGGATGCTGGCAGGCGACTGACATGCCTTTTGTCAGCATCCTCCCCTAACCCCCTCCCGACGGTTGTGTGAAGAGTGCGGTCTGTGTCAGCCAGTTTGTCAGTCACTTGAGCAGCCCAAGATGCAGGTATTTATATATATATTTCTTTTTTCAATTGTGTGGCCAATGTGAAGCTTATTTACTTATCGTGTGGCAAAAACATTTGGTTAAATTAATTAATTATTTTAAATTATTTGAAAGGAAATGTTACAAGAAATTATTCGATGACAAAGTGCATTTAAATATAACATTTAACCATGTGATATGTTGCATGTATTCTGTTTAAATTTTATACATAATTACAAAGGTCATTAAATCAACTTGCAATTCACATTGTATCTCTCGGATCTCTCTCTCGAATGCAATTGAAAATTAATTCACCAGCTTCGCTTTGTAATCCCATAATGTGTATCAACTACAAAGTGGCCTACGCACGTCATAGCCAGCTGAGCCGTACTTAAAAGAGTTTTATTAAAAAATTTCATTTAATTTACACAAAACGAGTGCAAAAAAAAAACAAGTACCTGTTGTAAGAATGCTTTTTGCTGGGGGAGGGGGAGGAAATTCGCATAAAGGATTATGAAATATCATCAAAAAGATGTGAAAAACTGGCTTAAAATCTCTCATATAAACTGAATGCCCGACAAGAACAACTATGAAACTACAGCGAAACTGTTGACAAAAAAAAAAAACCCGGCCAACAAGATGGTCAATGTACCCGTACAATTTTTGTATCCTTTTTTTATTTTTTATTTTGGCTGTGAAATATGAGTCAAGTTTTCAATGCATGCCGGATGCATTCATTATGCCGTTGACGAGGCTTCACTGTGGTAAAGAGTGGTGGGGGGAGGGGGGAACACATACACATACACATACATGCACTTGCCATTAAGGAGTTTCTTTGGATTTTTTTACATTTATGACAAATGCATTGCACTCACAAAGCTCACACCGACACAGTCGCAATCTTTATGATCTCATGCATATGTATGCGTTTATAAATGCCACGATATTGTGACAGAGACAGACGAACCCACAAAGAGAGAGAGAGACAGAGAGAGATAGGAAGAGAGGTGGTGAAAAGAGAAAGCATTATTTTATACCAAAATGGTGGTCGGTTTTGTGTTGAGCGATAAAAGTCCTGTGGACCGAACATCCGGCCGAAAAGTATGCTTTATGATGTGAAAATGTTGGTGTTGTTGATGTTAGAAAATACAACAGTTAATAATTTATATAAAATTATTATGAGATATATTTTAGGTATATTTAAGATACAGTATTGACAAAGGCAAAGTCTAGCATTTATGCATGGAATCATCTACCAGCTCTGATCTAGATTTTTACTTCTTAAAAAACGATTAAGGTTTCATTTTCTGTATGTACTATTAAAATTCTCTTTTCATAAATTAAATTAGCTCTTAAGAATGTGTCAAACAGGCATTTTTGTTACTTAGATTTTAGAGATATTTTTTTGTAAAATGCTTTTTATTTTTGCTCCCAAATTTTAATCAATTTTCCAACATAACAAATAGTAACCCATTCATTCCGAATTTTGTAATAAAAAATGCATTGCATACAATCAGGTTTTGGCAGTAAAGAAATGTGAGAAAGAATGATGATTGGACGCGGGAAAGGAGGAAGAAATGAATGTCAGAGAGGGCTTAAAAAAAAGGTGTTGAGAATGCCAAGTCACGAGATGCGACACAAAAAAAAAAAAAAAATAGAAAAAGGCGTTTGCTAATTTTCTAAGACATCAATTCGGGGGAGTTCGATGGAAGTACGTGTGACAATGCTCCGACAATGCCCCCGTCCTCAGGGTCCTTCTTCCACGCAGCGCTTCTTTTTTGCGCTGATTTTGGCACGCACACATTTTGCATACTGATCAGCAATCAGTGGCATCAATTCT